ACAAGTAAACATGCACTTCCACACATGCCATCTATGTGTATATACATGGTTGCATACACATATATGTGTATATAGGTGTGTATATGCATACGTTTACTCCTGAATTTGAAATGAAATGCTATCCTATTCCAATATAGCCATGTGTGTTTTCTTTTGCTTTTACTTGCAACCTACTTGTTTTGCCCAGTTTTATGTGAAGACACATCAACAGAAAAGAAACATTCACACTATTCTTGGAGTTACGCTCTGCCAAAATTCCAGTGTCTCCAGACATATTTACTAAACTCCTAGTTAACGTTTTGTTTTCTACTAAAACTTGCCTCTTTAAAATCAAAGAAGCCTTAATTTTATACACCTGGTGGTGAATTCCTGTTTTCCTGGGTCATTTGTCCCTAAATGATATTTGTTTTTTTTCTGTTGGTCTCTCTTGAGTGCTGAATAATGTAATTGTTTTTCTGGTATTGTCAGGGTTGTTCTAATATGAGCTACGTGTTGTGCACACAGGATAGTAACCAAACATATACGCTGCTTCATTGGTCAAAAGACTTTCATCCTAAAGAATACATTGTTTAAGACTATCCTCTGCTTCCTCGGACAAATTCATGTTCCTGACAAAATAGCATTTCCTATTTTTAGGAAGCCGCATCATCCAGTTATCTGCTAAAACTACATTCAATTAACATCAACCAGACTGGGACAGCGAGCAGATTTATTGTGCTGTCTTGTCTGCTTGTTTTATTTCTTAAAACGTAGTATGAAAGCTGTAAATTGACTCGTCTGCTTATATTAGGTGTTACATTTCAGTACATCAGGACCATTTAGACTGCATTTCAAAATAAGAACTTAATCCATCTTTCTGCAAGGAAGGACCTTTCTTTAGATTATTGTTGGCTTTGGTGAAGGAAAGACCCTTTCCTAATGCTGGAGGCAGTGCTGACAGAGATGTCAGCAGTCACTGTTTTGAAACGAACGGGTGAGAGGCCAGGATTAACAGTCTGGTCAGTCACGAGCATCAGAGAGCCTGGCCAAAAATACAGCCAGAGAATAATGGTCCAAAGGCTTTGGCTTAAGTGAGCCTGCATCTTACAGAATATGGGAGAATCTCACCAAAAGTAGAACGCTGCTTTTGTGCAGCCTATGCCAACATCCAAGGGAACAGAATCATCTTTCCCCTCTACCAAGTTTTCATACAAGCAAAGGAAAAGCACAGGCTCACTGTGACACTACAGTTTTTCAGTCTGTTCATGCTAATGGCTCAACCAGGGATCTCCCATTTTTGCATCATCACTGCCAGCAGCCAGCTAATGGAGCATCTCAGAGACAGACCACAGAGCTGCAGTTCAGCCACATGGGGCACTTCCCTCTTTTTATTACACTCTATAAAAGATAAGTCACACACGCTTTCTCTTAGCAGTCTTCATGAATCAGCAAAGAGCTGCCGAAGAGTGACCATTAGGGCCCTCGGGAAAGACATGGGTATCAGCTATCAAAGTACTACTTGGTGATTTACATTTTTTTTATATGTCTCCGTATCCACTAGGCCAGTGAGGAGCACTTATGCATTTGCATTTTCAGGACAGGCTGCAAAAAGCAGACGTGTTCACGCAGCACCAGGAGGGAGGATTTCTTTCCTTTTAGCTCATGCAAAAAGATCCCTCCTGGTTCCTGTGTCTCCTCCCAAGATCTGCATTAGCAAGTCCAATTAGCGTACATACAGCCTGCCATGGGTGGCAGAACATCAGGACACGCGAGACTGCAATGCCAAAGTGCCCATGCAGCCATAGCAGTCCTTCACCGCTACCTCTTCTCACCCTCACCCTTCTGTTCAGTGAACACTGGGGGCTCACAGACACAAGAGGAAGAATTTCAACAAGGCTGATTGTGGCAGTCGCCTGTCTCAGGAGGTAAGGAATCAGCCATCTTGAATTCTGGCAATGAAATCTGTGAGTGCAGATGACAACACACGTGGCCATCCCTTGGCCATGGTTCATTTATTAAATACAAACTATTATTTGCACCAAGACCAACTTACAACTTTCCACGGTGTTTCTGTAACACCCTTTTCAGTATAAGCAAATCCTGTCCCTGTGCTGTACACATCAGCAAAGAGATCAGTACTTCTGGGTAATCTTCCCTCTGCAACAGGATCCAGGCTGGAATTAGGGATACCTTCGACTATGCTCTCCTGTTAACTGCAAATGGACAAAAACCACCAACCAGTTCTGAGGTTCCCTCACCAATCAGCAATGGGAGATTAACTTTGTCATTAACCTTGTCTGTGCCCTCACCAATTTAATTGGTGCTGGCCCAGGTCCCAGGCCTAAGGCCAAGAAATAGCATGCAGAACACAGCTGGGTGATAAGATGAGAATTGCTGCTTTCCCCAGCCACCTTGGGCTGGCCTCTTGGCATTCTGATCCCTTGGCACAAGCAGAATGTTTCAACATGTCATCACCAAGACTTTCTACAGGTACAAATGAACATAATATGGGGAACTTCAGTGAAAAAGGGTTTCTATCCCTTGCAAACCTAGCCAAAGTCTCCTTGGAAATTCTTTCTTTTAGCTCCTTCTCAAAAACAAAGACGACTTTTGTTACCCATCTCCTCACTGTGGGTAACCTTGTTCCAGCTGGAACCTGCATCACACATCACACATCACTCTGCTGCAAAAATCATTCCTCAGTCACAGCACTAAATCCAATGCGCACACTCCTAAAATATCTCCTCTGGTTCCTCAAGCCTAACAGAACAGCACAAAATCCCAATTCTCTCCATACCTCCTGCAGCCATCCCAGCTGCTCTGCAACCTTTCCTTTCCCAGAGGCCCTCCTCGCTCATCTGAAATCACCCATCAGGAACTCCTCCTCCAGCACATCTCAGCTTTTTCTTGCACGGGAGCCCTTTGGGAAGGGAGGAGGAAGGGGTTAGTAGTGCTAAGTCTCAGGGAGCAGCCGAGCATCGGTCTCCTTGCACAGGTCTTGAAAGAGGCGTTCTGCTCTCAGTAGCAGACCTAAACCCTGCGCAAATGCTGTCTCTATGAGTCATACCTTTCTCCATCTCCCTTTTACACTGTCCCCAAAAGTGGCTGCCCTGAGGCATTCACTTTGAAAGGACATAATCACATTGCCCTCCCCCTCCTTATCCCACTCCCCAGCACCTGCACCTCATTGGATGGTCCTCTCTTCCCACTCTTCTCTCCTTAATTTAGTTTGGGAACTCTCCAGAGCAATGAGACATCATTACCTATTTTGTAAAGCGCCATTCAAAGCTGTAGTAAAGTGGCACACAGACGTGATGATGGAAATCCTGCCCTCCTGCTCCCTGCAGAAGACAGGCACAGCTGAGGGGTGCTCAGCAGAGACAGGGCTGCTCCCTACAGCCCAGGCAGGCCTGCAGACCCCCTCCTCAGCATGCTGAGGGCTGTGCTGGGTGCCAGCTCCTCACATTGACTTTGCTGAGGTTGCTGTGGAGGAATGGCTGCCTGCTAAAATAATTAATAGTCCCCTTCATTTTGAGTAATGATAAAAGTCAATTAATGGAGACCAAAAGCAATATGACACTGCCAGTAGCAATGACAAGTGCTCTTTGTGAGCTGCCAATGACAAGGAGCACAAGGCATGACACCCACTGGGTTGGAAGATGGTGAACTGGGAGAACCAGGGGACATCGGTGGGCATAGCCCAGCTCCACCCAGTCAGATGATCCCCTCACTGGCCGTGTCGGAAGCTACGAAACACTGGGTTAGCCTTCAAGCACAACTTTGTTGTGAGGGAAGTGGGTACAATGGCAAGGTGGCTGTCTGTGTGACAATACGATCTCGGGTCAGACACTGTAGAGATGCACAGGGAGGGACAATGTCAGTCAGCCCAGCAGTAACCGCACCAGGGAGCCGCTGCTGCTCACACAGCGTAACAGGTGTAACACCCTCAGATTGAAACTTCCCCTTCGCCCTCCAGCAGGCAGCACGCAGGGCAGCAGCTGGGACCTCACACCAGCACCGCCGAGCTGACAGCTAAAAGCCGGGGGCAGCTGACGAGCGCCAGGAACCCCAACAGCCTCATACCCCTTATCTGAAACACACGTTTTCGTCCGCTTTGGTCGCTAAGCTCAACATGTGGTTTATAGGGAGATCGCGCCCCGTGCCGGGAGACACAGCCGGCGCCCGGAGCTGCCCGGGGGCTACTCGGGGGTCCGGGGTACAGCGGCCCGGGCAAGCGCGGCCCCGCCGCAGGCTCCCGGCCTCCCTAATGGGCATGTGCGGAAGGCGCCGCACATGCCCACTCTGCCGCCTGAGGCCGGGGGCTGCCGGGCAGCGGGGCGCGCCGTCGGGCACCCCGAGGCGGCCGAGGGCGCCCCGTCCGCTCCCGGCGGCGGCTCCGTGGGCGGAGGGCTCCCGCAAAGCGCTCTCGGCTCCCTCGCGGGGAGCGGCCGCCCTCCGCTGCCCGTCGGGACCGCCCGGGTTCGCCGAGGCGGACGGGGATGTGGCGGCGCGGCGGGCGGGGCCGGGCGGCAGCCGGGCGGGGCGGGGCGGGGCGCGGCGTCCCGAGCGCGGCCCCGGCGGGAGGCGCCGCCCGGCGTGGCCCCTCGGCGGAGGGCGCCGGCGGCGGGGGCACCGCGGAGGGTTGTCCGCGCCCGCCCCTCCCGCCGCGGCCGGCGGATTAGTCAGCACTCTGCGGGCGGCCCCGCGCCCGCGCCAACTCCGCGGCGGGGGCGGGGAGCGGCGAGCGGCGCCGGCCGCTACCCGCGGCCAGGGGCGGCGGCGGCGGCGGGGCGGCAGCCCCCCTCTCCCGTCCCCTCCCCTCCCCGCGGTCCGCGCGGCCGCCCGGCGGCCACAGGCAGGAGCGCCTCGGCCGCCCCGCGCGCGCAGGCGGGAGGGAGGCGGCGCGCCCCGCACGGCCGCACGCAGACGCGCGGCGGCGGCCCCCGGCCCCCCGCAGCCGCGGCCGGCGGGGAGGCGGCGCCCGGCGGGGCCGCCCCATGGTCTTGCGGGGGCCGTGGGGGAGCCGCGGGGGCCCCGGCGCGGCGCTCGCCCTCCTGCGCGCCCTCCGCACTAGGATGTTGCGGCAGGTCTTGCACAGGGGGCTGGGGACGTCCTTCTCCCGGCTCGGCCACTTCGTCGCCAGCCACCCGGTGTTCTTCGCTTCGGCGCCCGTGCTTATCTCCATCCTGCTGGGCGCCAGCTTCAGCCGCTACCAGGTGGAGGAGAGCGTGGAGCACCTCCTGGCCCCCACCCACAGCCTGGCCAAGATCGAGCGGAACCTGGTGGACAGCCTCTTCCCGGTGAACCGCTCCAAGCACCGGCTCTACTCCGACCTGCAGACGCCGGGGCGCTACGGCCGGGTGATCATCACCTCCTTCCGCAAGGCCAACATGCTGGACCAGCACCACACCGATCTCATCCTCAAGGTAACCGCGGCCCCCGCCGCCTCCCGCAACAGTTGGGAAGCGCGCAGGGGGCACCGCACCGCCGGCCCCGCGCTCCTTCCCTGCTCTCGCGTGTGTTTTATCCGAGTTGGGGCTGCTCGGGAAACTCCGACTCAGCGAGCGGCTGGGAACACGGCGAAGGGCAGCACCGAGCCATCTCCCACAGCGAGCGCAGCCGGCAGCGCTGACAGCATCTATCTGCCCGCGGCGCGGAGCGGGACGTTCCCGCAGCGTGTGCCGGAGCGCTGCGCCGCGGTGTCGGAGCGGGGAGGACGGGAGCGAATGTGTGCCGGGGAGGGTCGAGCTCACCGGGCAGGGCTCGGGTGGTGCGCATAGCCCAGAGGTGTGGCAGGCGCACTCCCGCGTCCGCTCTGTTGCTGTACGGTGTATGGAAAGCCCGGGGGCTCGGTACCGCTTGTCTCCCCTGTGTCGGGCTATCACACCGCGCAGAACCAGGGTAAATTCTGTTCAGCGGCTCCGGGGAGTGTCCCTTCCCTAGCGAGAACATCGGCGCAGATAGCGCGTGTAGGCACTTTGGGGAGATGCGCCCCGCGTTAAGCACGGCAATAACTGTTACAGTGGGCTCGTGGGTGTTTTATTCCAACTGTAGCCATGTAAAGAGCTGTAGTGCAGTGCCCCTCCGTGTGCTCCGTTTCCTTTTTTCTCTGTATTGCCCAGTAGCGCTGGACACACCGCGCTGCCGAGTGCAGCCACAGAAATGTATGTCACCGCCGAGTGAGAAAACTCCAGAGGCGGTTTTCATTCCTTCATTTCCTTGTGCCGTGGATTGCATCCGCATCCAGCGCACACAGTTACTCAGTCATAGGGAAATGATGGCAATGGATTTTTTTTCTCTGCGCTGCTGCTTTCTCTGGAGATCTGTGGTTCTATCGATAGCACAGTGGCACACAAATAAATGCTATGCTGAAGCTCTCCACGAGCAAACTTCTGCGTCAGATTTATCATATCAGCCAAAGAGCCATAACTTAGAAAGTTGTCAGCATTTAACGCTGCCTCATTTTTTAACAGACAGAATTTGCCAACAGAATGATTATTTCTTATTTGGTGAGACAATGAACACCATTGCTGTTTGCCTGTTTACTCATACCGTTAATCTGACATTGTCAGGCATCTTTGATGCATTATTTCCAACTCCTTACTTATCTAATTAATCCCAGCTTGCCTTCTGCAGAAAAAATCCCATCACTTGTCCCAGCTGTGTTTCTGTCTGTGCAGCCTGAGGTGTCCAGCAGGTCAGCACAGCCATCCGGGAAAGAGAGCTCCTGGCTCCCCATGTCACCGTGCCGGCTGCGACGCAGGGCCATATCGTTCTGTGTCAGCAAAGCTCACCAAGAGGAGGAGGCAGAGAGAGAGGGGCCATCAAAGCTCTCCTACACACATATCCATATGTGGGGGGCAGAAGGGAGCAAAACCATCTAAAAAAATTCCCTCAGGCCCCAGGGCAAAGCCATGCCCCTCTAGATGCTGCGCATCAGTGTCATCCCACCTGTAAGTGGTATTACACTGCTCACCTCCCCTTTCCTGGGGGAGCGTTGCCTTCCCAAGGAAGAGCTTTTCTGGGCTCCCTTGCCAGGCAGGGAGTGCCTAGCGCTGCTATTGCTGCCCTGGTCTCATGGAGGGGAAAGAGATGTTCTCTGTCTGCGGCAGAGAAAGAAGTGAGCTTCCATTATCATCCCCTTGGTAAAAGGATATGAAGTTTTGGGGTCTGAACAGCTGAAACTTAGTGGTACTGTCAAAAGTTAGTCACTATAATACCCTAATTAATTCATTCATTATTGTGGTAAGTTCTTCGGTGGCTTCTCTGAAGTGCTGTGGTTAGCGCAGTGCAGTTCTGACAGGCGTGCTTCAGCCCAAGAAGCTCCAGGTGCCACAGCTACGCAGCACCCTGCCAGCTGGCTGGCTGTGGTGGTGAAGGGACCAGCCCCGTACCCAAACCCCAGGCATGAACCCCAAGCTGGAGCTGACAGCCCGTGTGTGCCAGTTGGCCTCCTTGGGTGTGCTAGCAGCTCCGTGCAAGACTCTGCTCTCATTAGCAGGGAAGCATGTGACTGCCTTCTTGTAATAGCTTTGATTAAATTGGGTAAATGTCCATCCATAATTTCCATAACTCTCCCCATAAATGCTTGAACTGTTTTTGTGCCTGCCATCCATCGTGTTTCCAGGTGGTGTGGTCGTCTGTAGGAGACAGGGGCCTTGAACAGATAATCCAACTAAAGCCTCTGGAGAGTCTTGGTGGACAAGAGATGATCCTGAAGCTGAGAGATACTAGAGGGAAGTGATGAAATAGTGCTCTACAGCTGGGCACAAGATACTAGCTGTCAGTGTGTAGGGCCTCTTTCTTCTTCAAGATTTCACTCTGTCAAAAGAAAGAAAGATTGGAAGCACTGATACCCAACTGAAGAAGTGCTTATCCCTGTATTTCCAAGAAGTATTTGGAGAAACAAAAATAATTTGGATTTTTGGTGTGCACCATCCTGCAGAAGTTCAGAAGATTGTATCATTTCAGTACAACTCATAGAAGCCTAGAATCCAGTCTGAAAAGAGTCGAAGAGCAGCCCCCTACCAGGTCATTGCCTTAATTCTACTTGCAGCTAGAAACTTGGCAGGTTCAGGACATGCAGGCTCACAGGAAATGCGGACCTAACCAGGTGTTTTGAACCCTTGAAAGTACATCCTGACTAAGCCAGGATTTGAGACACCCATCGTTTTGAGCCTCTTCATTCCTCCATATTTACAGTGAGTTAACTGCATTATTCTACAATCTAATTTAGTTTTCTTATGAAAGCTTCCTTTTTTTTTTCCAGAATATCCTGTCTTCCACTTTTATTATTGTTCATTACATTAACACAGTACTTTTTTTTTTTTTTTTTTTTTTTTGCCAGTGACTATTTAAGATGCACAGATGAAAAGGAAATGAAATGTGACATTCTATACTGAAAGGGATTGTATTTACAGTTTGCCTGTACGAAAGTCTGTCGATGAAGGTTTATTTCTTAAAGAAACCTGTCCTGACTACAGAGTTTCAGACTCTGGTTATTGCCTCTTTCCTATGAACTGGCCATCAGTGGGTATAGTTAGCTGGTTAAATACCTAGTGGCACATGCAAGTGAATACCGAAATTAGACATTCACGTACAAGGACACATTTATTTAAGTGCTGCATAACTTGTAATTGTTGCAAAACAAGACAGCTGAACTCTAAATTTTTGCAGACCTCATACTTGTTTGGATTTCTTTTCCTCCCTCTGCCACTTAATTGCTGTGTCTGTGCCCATGTGTGCCTGCACACTCTGTCCACAGCCTGCCCGGATTTCCCCATTTATTTTCTGTGTGTGAGGAAACTCGTGGAGGAAACAGCTATGTTTATGTTCCCATGTTTGTGTTATCTCTAATTGTTTTCTGTACCAACATGGCATGCTGAAGCTATTGTTTCAGTGCTGGCTGTAGCAGAACTGAGGGTTGGGTCTGGTGCAGCTCTGACTAGCGTAAGCACCCAACCCTGCATTTCAAAACTTCGCTACTTCTGAATGCTTGGATGCAGACAGCCAGCTGCAGATCTAGCAATGGATAAGTAGTCTCCACCTTCTCTGCATAGCTCCCGCGCTAACGGCGCTTCTAAAGGAATTGCCAGCAGAACAAATAATGAATTCTGCCACAAAAATTAAAGGATGAAGTCATGTCTTCAGAGCAAGGCTGTAAGATGAGGGGAAGAGTCCTAATACAAGAAAAACAAGGGTGTGAAAGCAGCAGAAGTGCAAGCCTGTTGTCATAGCAGCACAATGCTGCAGGGCTAAAACGTATCTTATGCGAAAACAGATGAGAATTAAGATACACAGGTGAGATCTGGGCGCAGCCAGGGAAGAAGGACGGCCAGCAGCATGCTGCAGACGGGCAGCCGCCAGACATGTGGTCATCACGCCAGGTTCTGCCTCCTGTGGCACAGTGCTTGAGGGGACAGAACCTCTTGGGGGGATGTCATGCTCCAGAGGAGGGCCCAGGGGTCAGGGATGCCACACAACATGGACACCAAGGCCTGCCCACTGGTGTCCAGGTGGTGTTGCAGGAGTGCAGCTGGCTAATGTGACCACGCAGAGGATTCCTGACTAAGTGACCTGAAAAACAGCCTTGACGTTGGGGTGTGTAGGACAACCCCCTCACTCCTGCTCAGGCAGAGAATCAGGAGCAGATACATTGATGAACATGAAGTAAGAGCCATCTGCCATACCTCAGCTGAGGAGCCCTTCGTGAGGGTGGGCCACTGCATCATTTGCCCCCCAAGAGGTGCTGCAAGGACAGAGAGAAGACAAGCTGGTGTGTGATCAGCAGCAAGAGTGAAGTCTTCCTCTCCGTGCCAAACAATGAGAAGTGGATTTCAGAGCCCGTGGCCAGGCTCCACGTAAGGAGCCCACTTGTGCTGCTCACTTGTCACAGCCTCCAGTAGCAGTCTAAAGAATTCCTCTTAGTGAAACAAATCCAGGTAAACTTGCCATGCTGCTGATCAGAATTAAGATCACATTCATTAGGAAAGCTTCTCCACTTCAGAGTAGAAATGTCTTCGCTCGCAATTACCAAGTGGATAGTCAGGAATGTGTACATGTACGTGTATCTGCCAGCATACATGTTTGAGCAACAGCAGTTGCCCCTCAGTTGATGCTTTGTGCTTTGAACAATTTTAGATTTTAATTACATGAAGATTGTTTGGAGAAGATACAATCCAAGTGTTTTAGGCAGCTAGAAAATTAGTTGTAAAAATACGTCGCTTCCGTAATTATTATCTTAGCATATTTACAGGAAATCTGATGGTAAGACTGCTGGAAAAGGAGTCCAGCTACAATTTCTGATGTGTTCTTCAAGCTGTTAGGATCAGCAAGCCTATTCTCTTGACAGTGCATGCAGCTCCCATCCTTGGTTAGGAGGTTGCTGGCACCAGCAACCTCTGAAGCCCTGATTTAATTGCTGAAGGCCGTGAATTTGTTGACAGATATCACTGGACCCAAGTGCCCAGGCTGGCCCCGAGGCCTGGCCCTTCTTAGAAGTTCCTTGCCTTCCCTGTCCACGTTTCCTTCTGGTTAAAATACGTTCCTAGTAGTTTAATTCTGCCTGTATCTGCACAGTTTTGTCTTCTGTAAAGCTCTGTCAGTCTTTTCTCTCATGTAAACCTTTTGCTTTTTCACTGAGGCGGTCTCTCAAAGTGAATAAAAAGCACTCTGCAAAGGTAGGACATGACAAAGATTACTGAGATAGTAGAGAAAGTGATGAAATTTATGGCAGTCCAAGAAAAGTTTTTTCCTCTCTTCATGTTCCTTGGCACAAGTACCCCATAAAAATTATCAAAAGAGTGAGCCAGCTTTGCATGAGAGTGAAGCCTGTATAGAGAACCACTGTTTCAAACCAGAAAGCAGTTCAGAGCTCAAATCAGAGCTGGGATTTTAAGTAGTAATACCTAATGAGTTCACTCGTTACTTTATTTCTGAGCCATCTCAGGCCTTCGTCCACACCATGTGATCAGTGAAAACTGAGGTTCTTGAAAAACACCACTTCAGGCGCCACTGATGCTCTAGGAAACCACAGATTTGGTAAAAATGACAAAAAAAAATAATAAGTTGGCAACACCGAAAAAGCTGAAGCTCGTATTTAGTTTTAACCATCAGACAAAGACTGAAGGAATCAAATGTTAGCAGAGGCAATGTAATACGGCATGGCAAAGATCTTACTCCCATGAGTAAAACATGACTCCGTGTGCCAGCTCATTTGCAATAGGGGAAGACATACGTATATCTCACTAGTTTTATCTAGTTGGCCATTCATCGACTATATGTCAAGTAACAAAGCGTGTTCAGGTCCTTATGATGAGTAATGTCACCTATAAAACACTGCACAGCACTGCTCCACAGAAAAGCCAGACAAACCTTCTCACAGGCTGTATGACAAGCACAGGCTAGCTATGTGTACCCTTCATACTGCAGCTGGTGGCAGACTCAGCTCCCAGGGCCAGGCTGTCCTTCCACAAGTGAGAAATGGAAGGAGAAACAGAGTAGTAGGGAGCTGGCACAGCTGCCCAGAGAAGCTGTGGTGCCCCATCCCTGGAGGTGCTCGAGGCCAGGTTGGATGGGGCCCTGGGCAGCTGAGCTGCTGGGCAGCAGCCCTGCCCACGGCAGGGGTTGGGGCTGGGTGGCTTTGGAGTCCCTTCCAATCTAAGCCATTCTATGATTCTGTGAAGTGGGAGCTTGATGAAGCTGACACGTTTACAGGTCTCACCCACAGTCTCCATGCAGGCTGCGTGGAGGTCTGTGGTGAACCCTCTGATGGTCCCTGCCACCCTGGACTGCACAGATGAGGAGCTGGGCCTTCATGGGCTTTCATTAGGCTAGCAGATGGCAAAACATAGCCATAGAGGGTTTCTGGGATCAGAGCATTTTGCAGGTGAATCGGCAGTTTCTGAGCCCTCCCTGCTGTGACAGGATCTGTGTGTCTTGTAGGAAGGTTCTTATAGTCTGAGCAAGCCATCAAACCCTGGCAGCAGACGCTTGCTTCTGCATTACAAAAAGGACTTCTATGCAAAGTGGTGGAGCTAGAGGTCTTCCTCTTCCCTTCATGTGGCTCCTTGGATCTTCTTCATGGACTGAGGAGAAAAAGCAGTATCCTGGCACTCCACCAGGCCCACAAGCCTCACCTGCTGCTGCTTGCAGGGGAGGATTTGTCTCCCTGTTGGAGCCACCTTTACTCCATTTGAAGTGAGCGGATCAGCAAGCATGGGGCTTAAAGGCCAGGACAAAGGTGTTTCTGTTGAAACATGGAGAGAGAGGGATATAAGTTGTTCTGCTGAGAGATTTAGACTGGATGTAAGGATAAAGTTTTTTACAATAAGGGTAGTGAAGTACTGGCACAGCTTACCCAGAGAGGTGGTGGATGTTCTGTACCTGGAAACACTCAAGGTAAGGCTGAAAAGGGCTCTGAGCTCCCTGACCTAGCTGTAGGTGTCCCTGTTCATTGCAGGGGAGTTGACCTTTAAATGTCCCTTCCAACTCAAACCATTCTATGACTATATGAGTCTATGATTGTATGACTGAGCACTTTCAGCCAAAAGCAGCGCGTGAGGCCGTGGCCAGCAAGCTCCAGCAGTGCTGCACAGCCCTCGTGCTGCAGCACTCCAGCAGCATTCCCAGGAGGAGAGCTGCCTCCCAGGTCACTTGCATTGCTTGCTAACCAAACGGTCTGTGAGTGATGAGCAAGCAGTACGTGTCTCCCTTCAAGGAAAGCTATTCAGGCAGCCTTTGATATTCTTTTAGCTCTCCATCTCTACTAATAGGATCAGCAAGGATAAGAAAACAGTTGGGTAAATGAGAATCTGGTGGATTTATTTAGGATATAGTTCCCTGCTGTTCAGAGCTGAGCATGATGACGTTGTTCCCATCAGGGCAATCCATCCTCCTACTGCTGGCAGACCCAGGCTTCTGGCTGCCCTGTTGCTGTGTCAGGATGGGAGCAGTGTGGGGCCCTAAGCCCAAAATCATTGTGCCCAAGGAGCAACAAGTATTCAGCCTTCCATCGAAGATGTTACAGCAGCTGTGACAGCTGAATTTATTTTATAACCTAAATATTAAAAGAAAGTGGTTCAGATGTAAAAGGAAGCAAATGCAGCAGGGAGGAAGGGTAGGTAAATAGCAGCACACACAGTTTGATAAAACTTGTGTGACAGTTCCCTTTCTCTGTTTTGTGTGACTTGATGGATCCTTTCTGAAGCAGTTGTACTGTTAATCCAGTACGAGCAGTAAATTCCTTTTGTTGCTCCTAGTTGTCCTCAGCTGCACTTCTCTATATGACATCTGGCTTTACAACTGTTGTCAATGAAATACATACAGCAACTGCCATTGTAAACAAATTAAAATCAGATGTCTGTCTTTGATTCAGTAAGCCAGAGAGCATTTTCCCCAACCATACCTTTGAATTCAGTGCTCTAAAACAGCTCTTGAAGAACTTTTCAAAAGCAAGCAGGAAAGATGGGAAGAATTCCCAATGCAGGATCATTTCTCTGGCACTTTCTTGCAAATCTCTTTATTATGGTTTTAGAAGAAAGGTTGTGCAAGAACCCCTAATCTGTCACACAGAAAGTTACTTGTTCTCCCACCAAGATGGAGAATTTCTTTCTCACCATGATAAGGTCCTGTGTTCTCCCAATGCCATGAAAAGGTTCATTAGTTCGGTTCATTTCTCAAATCTGTCTTTCTAATGTCAGTACTGAACTGTTCTTGTGTAGAAAATAAAAACTGCTCAAGTGTGTAAAAAACACACCTCCAAACTGCTGGAGAAACGCTGAGATTATAAGAACTTTGTATTTTTGCAGATATAACATCATATCAACCTGAGGAATGGAGGCGGCTTGATTAAATTTATACTCCATCACAGACAGTACAATGTAACTGTAAAATAATCAGATTGATAGTATCATCCAAATGGCATTGGTTTTATTTTTCTGCAAATAGGTCTGAAATGGCACAGAGATGTCTCTACAAGCATTTAAGTTCTACAGGATTTTCGCCCTGAGTATTAGACGTGTCATCCGTTGTCACCAGACGAGTATATGAGCTGTGCTGCTGTGCCACGTGCTATCTGCTGCTTTATAATCAGCATTTCTCTTCAGAAAAAACTAGTTCCATTAGATGTCACTTAATCCCAGCCTCTACTGGGTGCAGCAACCTACTGTTCTCCTTGGGAAACTGTATGTGGTTACAAAACAAGAAATTGTGTCCCCTTAGCCCATCCTTTTTGTCTTGCTCAAAATTTTAAGGCAGAAAGTGGCCATTCCCCTCTCTAGAGACAAGGTGAATGTGGGCTGGCAGCCTCAGGTGATGCCAGCACTGGACAGCAGAAGCAGTGATGTGTGGGGGTCCCAGCATTGAGGTTCAGATGTCCCCACACCCACTGCAGGACAGCAGAGGACACTCAGCCACTGGGGCTCAGACTTGGTGGGAGGAGAGGTGGTCCTGGCCTTGGCAGCAACCCTTATGGGAGGTATTGGTGTCCTTTGCACAGTGAACACAGCACATCAAGAGTTGCATGGTGACAGTAATGATTAAAGGTATTTCATAAGGAAAATACCCCCAAAACAGCTTGTACTTTGCTGAGACTCCTTACATTAGCAAGCTCAGTGCTCTACTACTGAAAAATACTGCAACCCCACTTGTTAGCGTTCTTCCCTTAATGTCTTTTAGATGTCATGTTTCTTCTGCATTAATTAAAATGGATTTAGAAGGGGTTGTACGATTTTTCTGTACTTTGTCAGAAGAGAGCATAATCTTTCTGCCCTTTCGATGCTCCAAAATAACTGAATGTGCTTTGGATCAGAGCTCATGGAAAATTTCAGCAGGATGCAAAGCGACTTTTAAAGGAGGGCTGCATTAAAAGCTGCCCGAAAGCAAACAATAAGCAGGGATAGCCCACAGGCTCTAAAATGAAGGCTTCCTCTGATAAACAGAGAGGAGAACAGTGGTGACTGTTCTGTGACTTCTTGCTCTCGGGTAGACAGAGGGATTGATGGGGTGGAGCTGGAGACAAAAAGTGGATGGCTTAACCAGTGCCAGCTCCAGGTGCTGATGATCCTGGCTCTCCTCTGCGGGCTGCATCCCAGCTTCCTCCCGCAGCCTGGGGGTCACCAGCGTGACGACATCCCCTGTGCCAGCCAGGCTGTCCCTTCCATCCCACCTGCCCACGATACCAGCAAGGGACGCAGGAGAGTGATGCTGCTATTTTAATGCATGCTTCTTTTTTGCGCTGAGTTTGCTGTGAGTACCGCAGCCACCAGAACGCTCGCTGCTCTTGTCTGGCTGGAATAGGAGAGGGACGGAGGCTGCGAGCCGCTGTTTTGCTCTGGCTGCTGCCGAGCGGGATGAACTGATGAATAACGTCTGTGATTTCTCTTTCCCTTGTAGTTGCACTCTGCTGTGACCAGGATCCAAGTGCAAAGACCTGGTTTCAATTACACGTTTGCCCATATATGTATCCTGAACAATGACAAGACATGCATAGTGGACGACATAGTGCATGTGCTGGAGGAATTAAAGGCTGCTCGTTCTTCTAATCGAACTAATTTTGCAATCACTTATCCGATTACTCACTTAAAGGATGGCAGGGAAGTGTATAATGGGCATCAACTTGGTGGGGTTACTGTGCACAGCAAAGACCGGGTGAAGTCTGCAGAAGCCATTCAGCTCACCTACTACTTGCAGGCAATCAACTCCTTGAATGACATGGTGGCAGAAAAGTGGGAATCCATTTTTTGTGACACTGTTGAACTTTTCCAGAAATCCAACAGGAAAGTCAAAATGTATCCTTTTACTTCTTCTTCGCTGAAGGAGGATTTCCAGAAGACGAGCAGGGTGTCAGAACGCTACCTGATCACAAGCTTGGTCCTTGTGGTCACCTTGGCCATTCTCTGCTGCTCCATGCAGGATTGTGTCCGCAGCAAACCCTGGCTTGGCCTGCTGGGATTGCTGACCGTGACCCTTGCCACCCTGACTGCAGCCGGGATCATCAATCTCACTGGTGGGAAATACAATTCCACCTTCCTGGGGATCCCCTTCGTCATGTTAGGTAACTATCTCCTACTCTCTCTTTTGTGTGTTTGTGCCTCCCTGACGCCTTTCCCAGCCGGCGGAGAAGCAGCACTGCATGACTCCCAGTATCTGCTCCCTGTAACGCTGCCCCGTGCCAAATCCGCACCGCCTCATTTCCTAAACAGCTTGTGCCGTGCCCGGACGTTGCGATTATTTCTGGGTTTCTGCTGTATGGCGCAGTGCCCACGTGGTGGTGAGGACCAAGTACGTGCTGCTGCCATGCGCGGTGCAAGGAGCCCTGCTGCTGTTGCTCTGTGTTTCAGTGGCCAGCTTTAGGAGACCTGCGTGTGGCTCTCTTGCTGGACTGGCGGTATCGGCTGCCCTGATAAATAAAGGGCGGATGGAGAGCTCGCTCCTTGGCAGAGCAGAGCGATGGAGGGCAGGAGCTCCCTGCGCGTTGTGCTGCAGCCCCTTGCCGTGCTGCAGGATCTTTTCTGGAGGATGGGGAGGAGGGCAGGAGGAGGACAGGCAGCTCCCAAGCTGCAATCTCATGCCTTTGTATTGGTGCCAGTGGTTCAGGATGTTTGCCCTCCAACCAGACAGGCAGGGGCTTCCCAAGAGGCAGAAGGGGCTTTGGGGATCTCACAGCCTTTGTGTTTGTGTTTGGTTCACGAGCAGCGTGAAAAGCTCCACGTGCCATAGGTGTTTAATGTGCCCTCGTTCCCAGCATTGTTCATTGGTGGAGAATAATACATGCATTGATTTGATCACAGCTTTCCCAGCTGAAAATCAGTGCTCAGGAATACTTCAGATTTCAAGAGTGCCTTTGCTGACTTAGCTGCATCATGTAGTGATACGTCGCGTTTCAGCACAGCTGTTTTTATACTGAGCGCCAGGTTCCTGTGCCATGCCCGTGCTGTATCTGTGGTATTGTTGCACTTTAATTAAAGACTATGCTTCAGTGCCTCACACTACCAGCTAATGTGCAGAATGTGTTTGGTGACAAAGAGAGTTCAGCTGCATTGCATCGGCTGCAGTGTGTCACTCTTGTTTTCAGGTGATATCTGTGTAAATTAAACTGCCTCATAATCTAGAGGAGAAACAGCACAAGGAGTCAGAGTTGAAGGCTTTCTGACCCAGATCTTTGTTTTGTTTTATGGGTTCTTATGTTTATGCATGTGTTAGAAAAATCTCTTTCTCAAAGTAAGTAGTCTGTGTAAGCTACAAAAGAGTGGCCATAGCAGGAAAACAGTTTGAAGTACAGCCTCTGAAAGGAAAGTGCCTGGGGAAGGTTACTTTGAAATATGAAATATTACCTCTTTTCAGGGAGCAAGGCTGCTGCTTTCCAGGGCAGCCTTTCAAATCATGAGTTCACTAATAGTGGCTACACTGAGATTTGGAATCCTTAAATATTACAGATCATTATGAAAAATCTGGTTGTGCTTAGTGAGTTTCAGGTGCACAGCTCAGCTCTCACTGTGAGCAAGCCAGGGCAGAGCAGTGTGTTCATGGGAATCTCACATGCTTCCCTGGCTTCATTGAGGTTGGGAGTTTTTAATGAGAACTGCTTTAAAACAGTAATAGCTGGAAAGGCATGACTTTTCTTTCTTTCTTTTTTTTTTTTTTTTTTTTTGTTATTTTTTTCTGCTGCAGTAAAACAACAAGATTCATCATGAATTTCAAAATGTGCTTCATTCCTATACATCACTTTGCTTGCAGAGGATGGTTTAGCTCAAGGTAGCTGAAGGCTGGAGACACAAACCACTTTCCATTATAGCTGGCTGAACTATTTCCACTTAATTTCAGTGACCATCAGATTAGATCATAGATTAACTGACCTTTAGAAAGCTAAAGGATTTCTGGCTAACAGTGTAGTCCCATAGCTATTACTCATAATCTCATGGCTAAAAGCAGAAATTAGATAGAAAAAATGCTTACGCTGGACACATTTCAGGCAAGGCCCCTCTTCTAGTATAAATCATTAATGAAGTTTCCCTGGTTTGTAGCAGCTGAGGATTTTTAACTTTCCATCAGCACTGTGAGTTGAGGGGGCTCCCCAGACATGGTCTGACCTCTGCTGCAGGACAACATCACGTCTTCCCCAGCTCTGTCTCCTTGGAGCGTTTCCCGCTGTCGCTCACTGTGCTACCTCTGCAGCATTGGCATCACGTCTAACCCGAATTCCCCTTTTGCAGCTCAGCTGCCCTTATTCATCCACAGCATCTGGAAAACCACATATTTTCTTTTTCTTGACATATTTGGGAACACTCCCAGTGGTGCAGTCCTCTTCTGTTCCATCCCGGCTTCCCTCAGGTGGTTCTTCCTGGCCTTACAGCAAACTCATTGCTCTTGGCTGCTCCACATCCTCTGTGGAGTGCGGTGTCTGGAGCTGGGCGCAGGATTTGGGCTGCAGCTTTCAGCACCAAGCAAAGCGGGAGGATTATTTCACACATCTCACATATGGCACTCCTGTTCATATATCCCTACATGACATTCATTTTTTGCAGCAATCTGAAGTGGTTGGCACTCGGTTTGTTGCATGCGGTAATTCACCAGCCATGCATGCTGCTTTCTGCCGTGTTTGCACAGCCGATTGTTCCAGCACGAGGTTTACCCTTGTCCTTGCTGAACATCTCATTTATGTCACACCACTGCTCCTGTTTGCTAAGTTCACCCTGATGTCATCAGTGCTGTTCCAAGATACGTTCACTGGAGATGGTCGGCAATGTTTTGCAATTACCCACTTTCTCATATTTTCAGGAATTCCTTTCGGAATAGCTCGGGTTGTTTGTCCAGTCATAAGTTTGTGTTAATCATTTAGACAGTATGGCCACAGAACCCTCGGTTCGGTGCGCTCTGTAATGCTCATTTTTACCCATCATGTTTCCCTTAGCATCCCTCAGCACCAGCCATTTCCAAGAACAAGCAATCTGCAGGGAAGGGTGCCAGCCTCTGTGTGTGTTCGTCCTTAACTTCAGCACCACTGGGACAATTACAAGTACTGAAATTAGCACAGCTGAGCAAGCTGCACTCCCAAGCTCTGACAGTGTGAGCAGGCAGAAACATCTTTTGCTTTCCCCACCTGTGAAATACAACATACTACTTTAAACCTCCTGTGCTTTGGATTTAATCACCTTCAGTGTACTGTCTCCTAATTTATTTTCCTCTTTAATTAAGGCAGATTACAGTAGCTCAGCTGATGAAAGGTAACTCATTGAGTTGTGGTAACGCAAGCACCAATGCCTGCCTGTACCCAGGGCCAATGCCTGTACTGGATTTCTCCTGCAAGGAGGCCGGCAGGCTGCATGCTGCCTGCAGCCTCCCTCTTCTCCAGGGAAGGCTCAGCAGGTCTGGTGGGGATCTTCTCATCAGCTTGGCAGGCTCCCACCATTCATCTGGGTGTATTTAGAGTTAGTGTATGCCTTGCCGATTCCGTGGAGCTGCTGCCACCTGCACTTAGCAGAGTCGTGTAAAGGCAGAGGTACTCACATGCCTGATTCAGATGGAATACTTAGCTGCAGTAAGTCTGTCCACTTTTGACCCTAAGAATTATATACCAAAAGAACAAATTCTTCCTAATTCAGACGAATTGAAAATAGTCAAGTTGTTGTGCCAGCTGAAAAGCAGAAACAAAATTCTGATTTCCTGCTGCTCGTTCCACTGAAATCTACAGATGTTTGGTCTGGCACAGATGCTAATGTATTCATTGCAAGTTTTCCTTTATGCATTAAATATTGTTTAATAACTGCCAATCCTATAAAAATACCAGTTTCCTCAAAAAAAAAAAAAAAAAAAAGCCACAAAACAAGGCACAGAACAAGCAGCAGGGCTGGCTGAGTGAGATTCTGGCCTGAGTTTCTTACCTCCTGCAGGTGCAGCACAACACTAGACATGGGGGCTCAGAAGCAAACTGCACGCTGCTCTCTGTCCTTAAGGGGATACCCACAGGGGAGGGACACAGCTTTTCCCAGCCACCAGCTGGGTGGCAGGGCTCAGTTCTGTAGAGTGGTTGGTGGTGCCAGGCACTGCCAAATAGGGGAGAGACACAGGGCTGGCTCCACACGCTTATATTTAGCCTCGGGTCTGAGGTGGAACTGGCACGGGAAACACAGCTAGCAGTTAGGAGAGCAGCTTGAGTTTGAAGCTTTCTGTAAACTGAAGGGGAACAAGCCTGGTGCCAAAGCTAACATAACAGGGAGGGACTCTCTTACTGTATCCCTCACTCCGAGCTCCTGTGTCATGGCACCCACGGCAGCTCCTGCAGTGTGGTTACAGCTTCTGGATACTGGGTTGGAGGGAGCACAGAGGCAGGACTGTTTGCTGAGGGCTTTGCACTGGAGCCTTGGAGATGCTGGAGGCTGGACAGCAAAGGTCAAAGGGAGAAAAGGACTGGAGCAGCCAGTGTGCAGCCCCTGGGGAATGCAAGTGCTGCAGAGCTGGGCCAGATGGGCTCAGGGTCCCTGATCAGTTTGCAAGTTACCTGCCTCACTAGGGAGCTGTGACATATGCCAGATTTGTAAGCCCTAAAAGCATTCATTATCTCCCCTATCAAGCACCCATGTGTTTGCTATATTCAATAAAACCAAAGTGTCAACTTTGGTTACATATAAAGATTTACAAAGAGAAAGAAACATCTCCTGAGGTACCCTTCAGTCTACACGTAAAGGTAACAGACACACAAATGTTTGACTTTGTATAACATTTTTCCACCGTTTTCTCTGCTGTCAGCTAATAAAAATGTGAAGTGTACTGAGTCTCTCTTGTCTTTATTCCCTGCACTGAGCTCTCTCACTTCTCTTGCCAACCTAACCCTCTAACCCTGCCTGCTGGGGGAAATCTGCTCTTCTCATCTGGACATCACCCTATGTCCCTCATCCCATTCTCCTCTCCCTCATCTCAGTTGCATTTTGGGGCAGCCCCCAAAGCAGATCTCACCTATCTTCTCATTCTGGGTGCAGCACTCTCTTCCCTTATCCCAGCACTGCTCTCAGGGTATTTTGTTCTTCCCCAGCTTTCTTTGTCTTTTTCTCCTTGGCC